GTAGACTATCATTCTTTATTAATCATGTAGTAAAAACAAAACATTTACTTCTTATGTTTTATTGTCTCTTCTCTCTCTTTGTATTACTTTCTTAAAATAATAGTAGTTGTTTGTGGTGTTTGGGGACATAAACTAAATTAACCGAATCTTATTAAAATTTCAGAAATTTTTTTTTGTTATAATCTATTTAATAACTATTGTTCGAAATAATTGTGTTGATATATTGTATTAGCAAATTACAGTTTGAGATTAAATTATGTGTAAAGAGATTGAATTTAAATGAGATCGTTTGTGATGCTTCCAATCTTTCAAAAAAACTTTCTTTGTTGTAGTTTTTCAGTTTAATTATTCACTTACTATTTTCGTATCAAACATCTGATTACATATATCAGAAGTTTCAAAATTCTGATATATGAAACATCATGGGCCCTCTACTTTATTAAAGAGAATTAGTATGAGAAGGCCCCATAACCTAGTCCTTTAGTCATTTAGAGGGAGCTCGTTGTACCAATCCTAACATATATGTTGTTGACATCTCATCTAAAATTCATTTTTTCCAAGCATTAGGTCTATTTATAGATTATTGATCCACACTATCAAGAAATTTACTTGCTTGAAAAGGAACAATAAGCTTGTATGCTGATAGTCAATATCTCATGAATAATATAAAAAAATATCACTAATAGGATCTTGTTATTATTTGTAAAAAAAAAAATGAAAAGAAAAAGATTAATGGATGGATTTTGATGGTCTTTTGATTAGGATACAAATTTTGATTCGATGACTTAAAATAACTAAACTATCTCTTGACCTACTGAGAAATCCAACATCATTATATTGACTATCTTGATTGAACGGGGATATTTGAGATTTGTATTGGTTTTTGCTTAGAATGGAATTTTTGGTTATATAGACATTCTTTTAATGACATCTTCAATGATAGTTTATATTTACTTTCTCATACATATAAACAGTAGGGAATAAAGGGATTGCTTTAGAATTCTCTGGTTTGTCTAATAAGACATATGGGTAGTGCATCATGATCATATATGTATTCATCATTCAAATGTTCACATGTTGGTGAAACTTGAAAGAGGGGAAAAGAATATATGAGCATGATTATTGATAAAGTAATTAAAGAGAATCAGTCCAAAAACATAATATTAATAAACAGGAAAAAAAAAAAAAAGAAAGGAGCTTGGTGGAATATATATATATATATATACATACATACATATATGTGTGTGTGTGTGGATTGTATAAAATAATGATAGAAAAATAATTAGGAAAAAAAATTGGATATTCAAATCCCATTATGTGCAACTTTCTTTACAGGTGGGAAAAAGGAGAAAAGCTTTTCTCACACACAGCAATTCTGTAGACAAATAAAGTTAATTATATTCTTTGGGGAGAGGGATTTGGATGTTAGAAAAGAGGTGAGCCATATCATTTGTTTGGCTTAGGTTCTTATTCTTCAATCATTTAATTAAACTCTTAATTTTAATTAGCCTTAAATTAATTAAAACCCAATTAAGGAATCTTATGTAATGTTTTTGATATTATATAAAAATTTATTAAAAAAAAAAAAAAATGACCAATCTTTTACTTTCCCTTTTGATTTTCACATTCATAAAGGCTATACATATAATATATGTGTATATAGGGGTAATTAATTAAAGATGAACACCATATGCCACCGTTAACAAATATGATTGCAGCCAATAAATGAAACCTGAAATTTAATTAGCATATAAGAAAATTGGCATTTTATTCTTTAAACTAATTTTCAAAATCTAGTACCTACCTACATATAGACCGTACAATAATATGATTCCTACGAATAATAACCTTTTTTTTTTTTTTGGACCACTCACACCATGCATGCAAGCAATTAAATCCACCCATAACATATATACATATATATATATACACACACACACACTTACATATCATCACATACTATATATATATACTCTTTTTGAAATATAATTAATTTGTTTACACATCTCTAGTGTGGATGGATAGATTCATCGAATGGTGACGTCCATTATGTTGCAGCTTTTTCATCGTTTAATACATACATACATACATATATATATATATGTATAAGCATGCACATTTTTTTTTTTTTCCCTATTCCTGCAATGTTAGTCATCTTGTCTTCTGTCTTTTTTTTTTTAAAAAAAAAAGAACAGAAAAAACTTTTCCTTTCTATTTTAGGAATGTGAGAGTGAATAATGTCAATTGCATGTGAAACACACGATGACTAATTATTGATTAGGAAATAATTATGACAGAAATGAGTACATTAATCTAATTCTAATGCATGTGTCTAATTACATTATTTCTGTTTGAAGATTATAAGACAATCATATTATAACCCCTTAGATTTTCTTACTATATATGTACGTTATAGTTTTTTCTTTTCATATTATAACTTGTAAATACTTTAAGACTTTGATAATGAGCCCAAAAAACAACAATAGTTGTATCGATTTTATAATCATAAATTTCTATTTCATCTATTTTTCAAAAAGAAGAATGACAGAAATACATACAAAATTAAAATTATAATATAATTTTTAAAATTTGAACCAAACTCAGGATAATTACTTATTAAGATTATCTCTTTCTCTTTCACTTTCTTTTTTTTTTTAAAAAAAAAGAAAAAAAAATGACACTTTCCTAATTCTTATATGGGATTTTAGATTTATTATCTTATTTTTTGTTACATTTGAAATTGAATTTTTATCTGTTAATAAATTATATATATGTATTTTCAAATAAATTTTAAATAATCATTATAAATCTTTTATGATCACAGTCTCTGAACTATAAATCCCAATTTTAGCAAAAATTATAAAAATCGAATTAAACCAATCAATTTTTCTTATTTAAAGTAGGAATAGAAATTTTTCATTTAAAAAAAGAAACCAAATTGACATAAATAAATTATATATATATATATATATTGTGCTTTATATTTAACATACCTTATGTTACTTTCAATATTTTTTCACAGACAATAAACCATCATAAAATTCTAAAAATAAAATGTATGTATAGTTCTATATATATTTTTTAATAATTAAAATATCTAATGGTTTTAATTTTAAATATTTTTAGTGATTTCTAGAAATTATTTTTAGTTTAAAATTTTAGGTACATTAATTAAATATTTAATATTCATGAAAACTCTCGTGTTTTAGGAAAAAATAAAGACTCCTCACAACATTTTGATTTCAACTAAAACTTTGGCAATATTCTCGTTCTTCACCTAACATGTAACTAATTAATTAATCACTTAATTATAAGCAAATTAAAATCAAATTTAATATTAATGTTTTAAAAAGATTTGAATACTACTTCTTATTAATATTAATTGAGAATTAAGATTATAAAAAAAATTAAAATTAAAAATAAAATTTAAATTAAAATTTTAGCACAAACTTGGGCATGCATTACTTACTTCCATTATATCACAAAAACTATGAACAAGATCAGCAGCATGAGACTCATTGTTCATGCTTTTACAATATACAAGAAAATTAAAAACACACACACAGAAATTAATTAATTTAGAAGGGTAATTAATTAAAGCACAGAAACTTAAAAACAGTCTCATTCTTGCAATCCTTTTCACAATCAAGCAATATCCCTCTTCTTTCACTCGCAAACAACACCAACAGGAATATTGCATATCAAACCACAACCATCATTTCCACATCAACCAGAAGAAACCCTAGCAATGGCCTTACAGACCAAAGAGTTCTTCATCTCCATGGAAAGTTTCAGCTGCTCACACAAGTCCACACCAGCTTCTTCACTAGGAACCCATTTGAATCCATGCAGTAACTGTGCAAGCCACAGCTCAACGGTGGCCAAACCCAGAGCCTTACCTGGGCAAACCCTTCTTCCTGATCCAAATGGAGCCAGCCTCAGATCACTCCCCATTATGCTTACATCTTCCTCTATAAACCTCTCCGGCTTGAACACCTCCGCCTCTGCCCACACTTCATTGTCGTGAGTGATGGCCCACATGTTAACCATGGCGGTGGTGCCGGCAGGAACAAAGTGGTTGCCTATGTGGGTGTCGTGGATGCTGAGCCTGGCCCAGGATAGGAGGGGACCTGGTGGGTGCATTCTTAGGGTTTCTTTAACGATTGCCTTTAGGTATGGAAGATTAGGAAGATCTGAATCAGAGACGTATCCTTTTGTGCCCACGATCATGTCGATTTCAGATTGAGCTTTAGCTTGGATTTCAGGATGGATAACCATTCTTGCAAGAATCCATTCCAAGAGAATCGCCACCGTGTCGGTTCCTCTGAATATCATCTCCTATACATATGAAAAAACTAATTATTATCAGCTTCATATGATTTTCATGAGTTAAATAAATATCTATATGCTACCTTTGTGAAATCTGCTCAAAGATATCTGCAAAGATATTGAATTGGGATGCACTAAAATTCATGTGATATAAATTAAAAGCAAGAAACAAGACAAGAGAAGAGAATCAAATTCAAGATTTAGGGAGAGAAAATATTCTGATTCTCTCTCTATCTCTCTTTTTTCTTCAAGTACGTGACCTTTGATCAATACCAAAAAAAGAGAAATCAAATCCAGTGATTTTTCAAGAATCTATAATATGTAAAGGCTATAAACAAAACAGAAAAGATTTGTGTATAGATAAAACAACATAAGCATCTAACAAGCTGCAAAAAGAGATTCTCTCTCTCTCATACAAACAACATAAACAAAAAGTAGTACTTCAGATTCTATCTGCACCACCATTAAAGATGAGTATATATAACACTCAACAAATAGCCATTATAAAGCCATACACACACACACACATACCCAAGCTAGCTAGCATGCACTTCGTCTGTAACGCTCACTTGATAGTGAAATAACGGAAATATATATATAAAAGGCCAAGATCATCGCCTAAAGAAAATAATTAACTTGCACTAGTTATTTTTTATGCATTATAATTTGATTTACTGTTTAAGAGAAAAACGTACGTACCCATAAAACAGCAATCATATCAGACTCAGAGAGACCGTTATTCTCTTTCAGCTCCAAATCAAGCAAGACATCAACAAAATCACCTTCTTCATCACTCTGACCATTATTAGCTCGCTTTACCCTATGACCCTCAATGATCTTCTCAACGAAGATGTTGACTTTTCTCACCAATTCCCTGCACCTCTTCCTCACACCTTGCAAGTCCAACCAACCCAGAACAGGAAAGTGATCACTCCAGTTAAACATGCCTAACAACTCATACCCTTCACTCACCAAACGCTCGAGTTCTTTCCCTTCAACACAGCTTTGGTCACCAAACTCGTATTTCCTCCCAAACACACTCATCATCACATTGTTTAGTGACCCAAAATGTAAAACTGTCCTCACTCTCACCTCTCCACTTTTCTCCATCAAACCCTTTGTCTCTTTCATCATCTCCTCCCCGATCTTTCGCCGAAACTCACCGAAAAAACTCACTCTCTTCGGGCTGAACAGATGGGTTGCTGAGATCCTCCTCAGGTTCCTCCAATACTCGCCAAATGGAGCGAAACCCATTGCCCTATGGAACAACAGTTCGTATGCGGACTCCTTAACAGGTCTGTCCGCAAAAGCAGAGCTATTCAGCAAATCCTTGGCGGTGTTAGGGTCGCTGGATATAACGAAACGAGTGAACCCAACTGAAAACGCCATTAAAGACTTTGTTTTTAGTGAGTTGGCAAGTAGACCGAGGGTTCTGTGTGTAAAAGGACCAATGAAAGGCATGAGTAACCCGAGAATGGGGAGGCCAGATGGGCCGGGAAGGGCGGGTCGAGTTGAAGCCGGAGAGGCTTGAACTCGGAACTTGTAGAGAGCCCAAGCGAGACCTCCTGGGGTTAACCAAAAAGCAAAAATAGAGATAAAGAGCAGGAGATAAACGCAGAGCTCGAAACTGAGAAACGGAGAGAACCCAGTTCGAGAAAGGAAAGGAAGATCAAACTCCATTGATAGTTTGTCGTTGTTTTGAGACGAAAAGAGTGTTGGGGAAGAGGAAGAGGAAGAGCTGAAAAAGAAATGGGAGAGAAAGGGAAGAGATTTTTCTTCAGTGTGGAGGTAGATGGAGAGATGGAGAGGGCGTATTATATAGAGATGAAAATTACTGCGGGTTAAAATGCTGAGTCCGTAATTAGTAGAATGATTTGGCAAATATGTCCCTAGCCAAAATTTCAAATTACGAGTTTACCATTTTGTGGGCCCCGCCCCCCTCTCTTCCTCATCTCATGCACTTGCACAGGAATTATTATTATTTACTAACTAATAAAAGGTTCTTTTTTGATGTGTAATTTGGTGAGCCTTGTGGGCCCACGTATAGGATTATGCTTATGATGGGAAGATCAAGGGGGATAAGTGTGTGTGTGTGTGTGTATGTATATGAAGGGGCGGTTTCAAGTGGAACCTGAACAATCTCGTGCCTATGGAGTTATGATGAAGCCTTTAAATTTTACAAGTTGAAAGATTTTGATTATGTTAACTAATTAATTAATGTTTTATTACGGTAACTAAACCTGCATCATCCGTTACTGCTTCTAAAACATTTCCGTTACTATTTCACTGATTATATGAAATAATCAAGCAGATAAATGCATTACCTGTCCAAATACTTTATTGGGTTTAGTTAAAAATTTCATAAACCAAATAAATAAATAATTGACCGTATTAATTCAAGTCGATTGAATTAGATTTTGTTAATTTATTTAATCATAAAATAATATTTAAAATATATTAATAAAATATAAATATATACGTATGTACTTGTGCATAATTATTAATGGAAAAAAATTGAGTAATTATTAGTTTAATTTATTCATAACTGTCAACTATGGAAACTGAAACGAACCAATTAAAAATTTAATCTTTCATTTGTAATGGATTTAACTAAACAAAACTAGCCTCTCTAATCAATTTCAATTTTTAATCATCCCTTAATATAATTAAATACAAATTACAAGAATAATTAATACATTGTTTACATAATCGATCGGAATGTACGCAAAATTATTGGATAAATAAATAATAAAAAATATATATAATAATAAGAGAAGAGAAATAACGTTTCCGTCCAAGTTGGATGGTGGCAAAGAACGTTCTTTACTTCCCTGGGTTTAAATCACCTACTTTAAGCCTGTCTATTTTTTTTTTTTGTTTTTTATATGTTGCAGTTGAGATGTCAATGGTCCTGATCGTGCCACGTGGTGCGAGAAGTGAAAAGATCATCATCCTTTTTTTTTCTGGATGCCCGCGGGGTCAGGGCCAGGCAGCCGCCAGCACCACTTCGCTTGAAGTTGGGCCACAGCCGGGTTAGCTGGCACGTGTTATGATAGTGGAACGACCATGTTTCTTGCGTTTTGGGGCCCATATTCAGTCCATTTAAATTGGATCTCAACTGAATCTCCTTTTTGAACTATTAAAAAAAAAAAAAAAAAAAAAACAAAAATGAATATTCTTAATAATTAATCTCTGCGGGTTGTCCGTACAGTCGAAAGATATCTATGAAAAAATTATGAGAATATTTATTTATTTATTCTTTTATATTAAATTAATTATTAATTAATGATTATAATAAATTTTAATGACAAAAAAAAAAGGAA